ATTCGCCAAAGCAATAGACATCAACCTTCTCATTGCAAGTAAACTTCCTATTGGGATCCATTGCAAGTAAAAGGTCAGGTGGAACATGTTCATGCCATACTCTTTTCGTCAAAGGGACTTCCAAGTGAGTTTTACCCTCTGGAATAAACTCAGATACTAAAAATCAAATAGTTTTACAACATATTGCTCATCAAGTAAAATGTTCCATGGTGCGAGACTTCCAAAAACAATAGGTCTACGGAATCCAAGGTGAAGATATGCAACTGCATGAGCTATCTCCATTGCAATCTTTAACCTTAGTTTCAACAATAAAGGTCCAAGACGGGGTTGAGAATGACCCAAAATACGATCAGCAAGTGTCATACATCCAACGGAATCAAAAACTATAATGGGAAATTGAGTTTCTAAACAACATCCGATCAACTTCAGAAAATTCTTATGTTTCATTTGTGCAGCAGATACAATGTCATTGATGCCCTTTTGGATTACTTCTTCATCTTCCAGGAAGACAATGGGTTCAAACTTCATAACAGAAATTTGACGATGGTCTTTTAGAAAGCCATTGTACAACCTATAAAAATTTTTATTTGTTATAATTAATCCCAGATTGTCATAATTAATTGTTGCTTTCCTGAGCTCTTTCTCGGAGAAACTACGAATATGATTACATTTGCCATTAAAAGTGGCAATCAACTGTTTCAGTAACATTGCACCATTCTTCAAATTACTATCGTCCTTTCGGGGGAAAGATGAACTCATCTTACTTGATCTACAAAAAACCGATGAAATGCTTTCATTTATTTAACCAATAATTTGGAACATCCAGTACACAAGTATTAGAAAACATGAAAAAAAGAAAAAAAGATCCTGTATATATATAAATACACTACCTAACTATAATATAACTTTACACAAATGAATGTTCTGTGTATTTTATTCATAAAAAGAATGTTTTGAACTAAGATTATTGTCTAGCCTAAAGAAAATTAGTCAAAAGTAAAAATAGGTTAAAGAAAGGGATGATGTACCTGTGATGTGAGGATGGCCAATTCGCCCAATGCTAATTAATCGAAATTGTTAAGAAAAGAAGAAAGGCCTGGGTTTGAGAGAGCTAAGGAAAATTTTCAGTTAAAATGTGATGAAGCAAAATTAATGAACTTTAATGTACATAACCAGAAATCTGATTCCTTGAAAGTCAGCTGCCCTTGACTCTTAGAGCCGTAAAGAGGACTTGCATGTTCTTCACGGGATAATTCGCATGCGGCTTAAGACAGAACACGTAGCTGTTGATGGCGAATTCATGTACTGTATAAACTAAAATATACATTGATTAGAAAACTATGGATGCGTCTACCTGAGCCGTCCACGGCCCACTAAATTAACAAACCCCAAACAAGGAGCCCTTTGATAAATGGGTTTTGGGTATAAATTAACAAACTCCCAAACAAGGAGCCCTTTGATAAATGGGCTTTGGGCATAAATTAACAAACCCCAAACAAGAATTATTAACAAGAAGCTGTAGCAGCTGAAAGCGATGGGAAATTAGCAGAATGCAGTAAGCCCTTTATTTAATATTTTGAGCAAAGGACATGTTCCCACCCAAGGTTTATCCAAATGACAGGTTCATACCACTAATTCTATTTATTCCATATTCCCACCCTTAAACTAACACCGTAAGTTAATTTTAAATTTTGATTTATACAATTACCATCCTACCCTCCGTTCTTATTTCACCCCACCCAACCACCATCACCATCACCATCCAGCCACCACCACCACCCGCCAAACCCACTCGATCGCCGTTCAAGCCCAATTTTGCCTGATTCCGACGCGGATTGACCAACCCAACACCACCATCAGGATCCTCTCATCTCCCTCTCGAAAACCCCTCTCATCTCTAAGTGTTTGCTGCCACCATTCGTCGACCACTGCGATCTTTTTGTTCGTGTGTTGCAGGCAAAATTTTGGTCTCTCCTGGTGCTGGAAATCAACCCCATTACCACCAATAGCTTTACCAACATCCCACCTCAAAAAACCCCAAACAGATCCAATTGTGGTTGCCCGTCATTCGCCGTTCGTCACTCCAATTAGGGTTTTGCAATTTTGGTGAAAATTAGACTTAATTAGAGGTTGATTTAGGATTTTACAGGGAGTTTGTGGGTGTGTGATTGATTTGGAGGTTGATTATGCTTGTTTTCAAAGTTTTTTTTGTTGTTTTTTGGGTTGGATTGCTTTCAGGTTGGCTTGGTGGTTTAGTCGTAAATTGCAACGGGTGGTGGCCGGTGATTGGGAAGCAATGGTGGTCAATGTTGGTAGGGGTTTTGTTCAGGAGGAAGTGAAGAGGCTAATGGTGGTGAGTGGTGGGATTTTGGAGTCAAAAAACCGCCGGAATTTTGCTTGCAGCACGCGTACAAAAAGATCGCGGTGGTCGACGAACGGTGGCAGCAAACAGTTAGAGATGAGAGGGGTTTTTGAGAGGGAGATGAGAGGATCCTGATGGTGGTGTTGGGTTGGTCAATCCACGTTGGAATCAGGCGAAATTGGGCCTGAACGACGATCGAGTGGGTTTGGTGGGTGGTGGTGGTGGCTGGACGGTGAGGGTGATGGTGATGGTGGTTGGGTGGGGTGAAATAAGAACAAAAGGTGGATGATAATTGCACAAATCAAAATTTAAAATTAACTTACAATGTTAGTTTAAGGGTGGGAATATGGAATAAATAGAACAGGGGTATGAACTTGGGATTTTGGCTAAACCTTGGGTGGGAACATGTCGTTTGCTCTTTAATTTTTTTTCTCAAGAAAACATTTTACAGTAACAATTAAGCAGAATTCTGCTTGACATTCATCCTAATTGGTTAGAACAAATAACTTTACCTTTTTGCATAAAATTCTTGTAACTTTATATCTCCTTTTTTCACTCCATGTTTGAGAAAGTTATCTGTAATTGCTTAGAGAATGACCTGTGCTCTAAAATCTAGATTACAATCTCCTTTTTCTAAGCGGATTAAAGTTAATATTCTCTGTAAAGCAGCTCTATATGCAAATTTGTTGAGAGCACCAACACTTTTGCGGAGTCGAAGAAGTGAAGATCAAACTAAACAAGCGTATAAGATGCTATCTGATTTCTTTAGGTTTGCATTGAATACATTTCTTTACGTTCTTTTTTTGCGTGTCCATATTGTTTTTAAACTTTATATCAGAATTCATGTTGACTTGCAAGGTGTATGTCAAAATTCAGGTTTGGAAAAATTCTGTGGATGGCTCATAGCCTCATATGATGATGTTATGTGTAGTGACATTAGACGACAAAAATTCATGAAGAAGCCAAACCTCAGGATGTTTGTCAGTAAAATTAGGGAGCAGGTGTTACATGATCTATTTCATCTCATTCTCACATGTGTTGTTTTTAAAGACATGAAAAGATGAATTTTGACAAGTTTTTATGTGATGACAGTCCCAAAAAACCACACAAAAAACCACGAAAATCACGAAAGCCAAGAAGACAAAAGTGTAGAAAATCTAACCCAGTGGCCCTGTTTGAAGTAGATTAGCTGCAAAACTCTCAAAAAAGAAGTCATGAATCAAAGTCATCATAGTTTTAATTTTTTTTTTCTTTGGCTCATCAAAGCCAAAGAAAAGTGATGGGTAGGTTTAGTTAGGTAAGTTTGCAACATCGCTTCCATGATCCACAGAAATAAATAAGTGAGTGTTGTGGCTGGCGTTTCTCTTAAAACTAATTTTTTTTATTATTATTATATTACTGGATGTCTAAATCAATTTATACGTGTTATCACTAATATGAAAAGAAAAATATCACATTTATTATCAACTTAGAATTTATAAATTGGTTGGATTAGAAAATCAACTTCAAGTAATGCCACAACAGTTTCCTTAGTTGAACAAAATGCCCAAATTCAACACTATTTTGTTCTAGATTCCTCAAATGATGCCACAACAGTTATTCTCCTTAGTTGAATAAAATGCCCAAATTAATTAATGCCCAAATTCAACACAACATTTTGTTCAATATTCCTCAAGTAATGCCACAACAGTTATTCTCCTTAGTTGAACAAAATGTTAAAATTAATGCCTAACTCACCACCACATAATACTTTCAGTTCTAACAACGTGTACCCATTTCACTTCACTCTTCTTCATGTTAATTAAAGTTAATGTCAGATATAATAAGTATATAATTTAATTAAAGGCCTAGCTCTGTCATTGAAAGTTTCAAGTGTGAAAGAGTTTTGATTAAACATATAATTTAATTATATTTACCAAACATATTTGGCCCAGTTAAAAGTAAGTCACCCATTTGGAAATATTTAAAAAAAAAAAAAAAAAAAAAGCCTACCAACGGACTTGCCAATTTTATTGACGAATTTATATCTTGGTATACAACATAATAAACCTCAAATTTTAATAAATATTCAATTTTTTAATATGCAACTCTCAATAAAATTGGCATTTGACTCAATCCTTTAAACTCAACATGCCAACCATATCTTTTACCAAATTAATAATAATCCCGTTTCATATTTTCTTACAACTATTTCCATTATTTGTTGATTATTAATGTGATAGCATAGACTTAATTAAAAAGGATTTATGAATTAACGCAGCTATTTGACTTCCACCATACTACCATAGTAATAATAAATGAAGTTGATTTTTCTAATCTAACCAATTTATAAATTCTAAGTTGATAATGAAAGTGATATTTTTCCTTTCATATTAATGATAACACGTATAAATTGATCCAAACATCCCGATAATATAATAAAAAAAAAATCAGTTTTAAGAGGAAAGCAAGGCACAACACCCACTTGTTTATTTATGTGGATCATGGAAGCGACGTTGCAAACTCACCTAACTAAACCTACCAATCACTCATCAAATATAGCCATTATTGGATCAACTTTTCTTTGGCTTCTACTTATCGATAATAAGTAATTGTTTCTAAAACTACAGAGAATAGACAAAATCTACTTCTACTTGAAAACTTAAGAAATAGTTTATTTGAATGTTTTCAACTATGCCATGGCAATGAAGGCATGAATTACTAACACATCCATAAATAAGGAAAGCAGAATCCTCATACATGAACTGATGATATGCTAACTAGACTTGTACATTTTTCTGAGTTGTTTTGCCACATCCATCATATTTGGCAGATTTCTGGTTCAAGACAGAGACATTCGGACACCAGCCTTGCAAGAGCTAGCAATTGTTGTTCTTTTACCGAACATATTCCCTCTCCAATAATTGCCGGATCTATTATCTCATTTAGATTATCAGGTCCAATATCCTCTATCTGCAAACCTTTATTCTTGAGAAAGTTTAATAAGCTCTGTCCACTCAAAAGCATAAACAGCAATGCACCAAAGGCATAAACATCAGACTTCTCATTGGTAGCAGAATTCCTTTTGGAAGCTATTTCAAGTAAAAGTTCGGGTGGAATATATTCATACCATACTTTTTCCGTCCAAGGGACTTCCAAGTGAGTTTGACCCTCTGGAATAAACTCAGATACTGAAAAATCAAATAGTTTTACAACATATTGCTCATCAAGTAAAATGTTCCCTGGGGTGAGACTTCCAAAAACAATAGGTCTAGGGAATCCAAGGTGAAGATATGCAAGTGCATGAGCTATCTCCATTGCAATCTTTAACCTGAGTTTCAACAATAAAGGTCCAAGATGTGGTTGAGAATGACCCCAAATACGATCAGCAAGTGTAATACATCCAACAAAATCAAAAACTAGAATGGGAAATCGAGTTTCTAAACAACATCCGATCAACTTCAGAAAATTCTTATGTTTCATTTGTGCTGCAAATACAATGTTATTGATGCCCCGTTGGATTACTTCTTCTTCGTGTGGGAAGCAAATGGGTTCAAACTTCATGACACAAATCTGGCGGTCTTGTAGAAAGCCATTGTACAACCTATAAAAAATTTTATTTCTTGTAATTAATCTCTAATTGTCATAATTAATAGTTGCTTTCCGAGCTCTTTCTTGGAGAAACTACGAATAGGATTACATTTGCCATTACACGTGGCAATCAACGTTTTCAGTAAACATTGCACCATTCTTCAAATTATTATCGTCATTTCGGGGAAAACATGAACTCATCTTACTTGATCTACAAAACAACTCATGAAATGCTTTCATTTATTTAACCAATAATTTGGAACATCAAGTATACAAGTATTAGAAAACATGAAAAAAAAAAAAAAAATTGATCCTGTATATATATAAATACATTAGCTAACTACAGTATAACTTTATACAAATGAATATTCTATGTATTTTCTTTAGAAAAAGAATGTTTTGAACTAAGATAATTATCTAACGTAAAGAAAATTAATCAAGAGTAAAAATAGGTGAAAGAAAGGGATTTACAAAGACGATGTACCTGTGATGTGATGTGAGGATGGCCACCTCGTCGCCCTGTGCTAATTAATCGAAATTGTTAAGAAAAAAGAAAGGCCTGAGTTTGAGAGAGCTAAGGAAATTTTTCAGTTAAAGGAGACCATAAAATGTGATGATGAAGCACAATTACTGAACTTTTATGGACATAAACAGAAATCTGATTCCTTGAAAGTCAGCTGCCCTTGACTCTTACAGCCCTTAAGAAGACTTACATGTTCTTCACAGGACAATTCGCAAGTGGCTTAATGTACATTGATTAGAAATATATGGATAGGTCTATCTGAGCCGTCCACAGCCCACTAAATTGTCATCCACTAGAAATTTCTACCACTAGGGCAAGGAAGTTTCTTTCTTTTTTCTGTTTCAACAATTGCAATGAATTCAACAAAACAAATGATGGCTCAAGGTAAGTGGTGGGAAACATTGGACAGATAGAAAATTCTCAATACTAGGTGATAAAGTTGACTTTTCAAGGTCAACAAATTTTTTAAAACCATAAAGTAGACACAAATTGCCATAAGTTCACATTAAAAGCCTCCATAGACGTAAATTAGTACATATTTTTTTAGTCGGATGGTTAAACAGTCACAAGTGCGGACATGCAACTTAGTCAATGAGTAAACTACATACACTGATCTTGTTTTCACTAAGTGTAAGACATTTGTATGGTTTATACGAACATCCAAGTAAAAGACCCGAGTGTATTTGCCTTTGTCATAACAGCAGACATCCATTCTTCAGCTGTGGCAAACCTATATATATAATATCCGAATGTTGATTTAGAAAATCAAATGGAAAGTTTGTGCTATGTTGCCGTTCAAGTACAAATCGATTTAAGACTCGAGGTTAATTGACATGACTTTCCAAAGGAACCATTAGTTGACAGATTGTGATCTTTCAAGGGTCACAAAAGTATTATGCCTGTACAAAAGCATGGACAAAATCTACTTCCAGTTGAAAACTTAAAGAAATAGTTTATTTGAAGGTTTTCAATTACTGCCATGGAAAGGAAGGCATGAATTATTGATACATCCATAAACAAGGAAAGCAGAATCCTTAATACATAAATTGATGACATGCTAACTAGATTTATATACATCCATAAACAAGGAAAGCAGAATCCTTAATACATAAATTGATGACATGCTAACTAGATTTGTACATTTGTCTGAGTTGCTTTGCCACATCTATCATATTTGGCCTATCTTCTGGTTCAAGAGAGAGACATTCCGACACTAGCCTTGCAAGAGCGAGCAATTGTTGTTCCTTTACCGAACATACTCCCCTTCCAACAATTACTAGATCTATTATGTCATTTAGATTATCAAGTCCAATATCCTTCATCTGAAAAACTTTATTCTGGAGAAAGTGATAAAATTTATGTCCACTCAAAAGCGTAAACAGGCATGCACCAAAGTCATAGACATCAACCTTCTCATTGCAAGTAGTCTTCTTATTCTGATCCTTTCCAAGTAAAAACTCAGGTGGATCATATTCACGCCTTATTCTTGTCAGCCAAGGGCTTTCCAAGTGAGTTTTACCCTCTAGAATAAACTCAGATACCGAAAAATCGAATAGTTTTACAATATATTGCTCATCTGGTAAAATGCTCCATGGTGAGAGACTTAGAAGAACAATAGGTCTAGGGAATCCAAGGTGAAGATATGCAAGTGCATTAGCCATCTCCATTGCAATCTTTAACCTGAGTTTCAACAATAAAGGTCCAAGATGGGGTTTAGAATGACCCAAAATATGATCAGTAAGTGTTGTACATCCAATGGAATAAAAAACTAGAATGGGAAATCGAGTTTCTAAACAACATCCGATCAACTTCAGAAAATTCTTATGTTTCATTTGTGCTGCAAATACAATGTTATTGATGCCTTGTTGGGTTGCTTCTTCTTCTTTTTGTAGGAAGATAATGGGTTCAAACTTCATAACAGAAATCTGACGGTCTTGAAGAAAGCCATTGTACAACGTATGAAAAGTCATATTTGTTAGAATTAATCTGTCATCATCATAATTAATTGTTGCTTCCATGAGCTCTTTCTTGGAGAAACTACAAATAGGATTACATTTGCCATTACAAGTGGCAATCAATTGTTTTAGTAACATTGCACCATTCTTCAAATTATAATCATCCTTTCGGAGAAAACATGAACTCATCTTACTTGATCTACAAAAAAACCCATGAAATACTTTCATTTATTTAACCATTAATTTGGAACATCAATGTACAAGTATTAGAAAACATGAACAAAGAAAAAATTTGATCTTGTATGTATATAAATACATTAGCAAACTATAGTATAATTGTACACAAATGAATGTTCTATGTATTTATTCAGAAAAAGAATGTTTTGAGCTAAAATCATTGTCTAATGTAATGAAAATTAAGTGTTAAAATAGGTGAAACAGAGTAGCAATGAAAGTAGTCATACATGCAGAATTAATTAACCAAAAACAAAGGGATTTACAAAGACGATGCACCTGTGATGTGAGAATGGCCAATTCGCCCTGTGCTAAGTAATCGAAATTGTTAAGAAGAAAAAAAAGGCCAATTAAAATCTACTGAAGCACAGTTAATGGACTTTTATGTACATGACAAGTCAGCCGCCCTAGACTATTGAGTCCAAAAGAAGAGTTACTTGTTCTTCACGGAATAATTCGCAATTGGCTTAAGTGAGAAGACGTAACTGTTGATGGTGAATTCATGTACTAAAATATACATTGATTAGAATTATATGGATAAGTCTACCCGAGCCGTCCACAGCCCACTAAAATAACAAACCCCAAACAAGGAGCCCTTTGATAAATGGGTTTTGGGTATAAATTAACAAACCCTCAAATGATGAGTCTTTTGATGAATGGGCTTTGGGTATAAATTAACAAACCCCCAAACGATGAGCCCTTTGATGAATGGGCTTTGGGTATAAATTAACAAACCCCAAACAAGAATTATTAACAAGAAGCTGGCCGAGCTGAAAGGGATGGAAATTAGCAGAATGCAGTAAGCGGGCCCTTTATTTAAGCATATATATATACAAATAACTTATCAAATATAGCCATTATTGGATCAACTTTTCTTTGGATTCTACTTATCGATAATAAGTAATTGTTTGATAATAAGTAATTGTTTATAAAACTGCAGAGAATAAAAAAAATTTACTTGCACTTGAATTTTATCAAATAGTTTATTTGAAGGTTCTCAACTACTGCCATGGAAATGAAGGCATGAATTATTGAGACATCCACAAAGTAAGGAAAGCGGAATCCTTAATACATAAAGTGATGACATCTTAACTAGACTTATACATTTGTCTGAGTTGCTTTGCCACATCTATCATATTTGGCCTATCTTCTGGTTCAGAAGAGAGACATTCCGACACAAGCCTTGTAAGAGCTAGCAATTGTTGTTTTTTTACCGAACATATTCCCTCTCTAAGAATTGATGGATCTATTATTTCATTTAGATTATCAGGTCCAATATTCAACATCTGAAAATCTTCATTCTTGAGAAAGTTATTTACACTCTGTCCACTCAAAAGCATAAACAGCGATGCACCAAAGCCATAGACATCAAGCTTCTCATTGCAAGTCTTCTTATTGCGAGCCTTCGCAAGTAAACACTCAAGTGGAACATATTCACGTCCTACTCTTGTCGGCGAAGGGCTTTCCAAGTGAGTTTCACCCCCTGGAATAAACTCATATAGTGAAAAATCAAATAGTTTTACAACATATTGCTCATCTAGTAAAGTGTTCCTTGGTGAGAGACCTCGAAAAACAACAGGTCTGGGGAATCCAAGGTGAAGATATGCAAGTGCATTAGCTATTTCCATTGCAATCTTTAACCTGAGTTTCAATCCAAGATGGGGTTGAGATTGACCCAAAATACGGTCAACAAGTGTCGTACATCCAACGGATTCATTTTGATCTTACCCTTTAGCTCAAAGATTTGTTGTAGGCTAGTTGAAGTCTTTTAAGAATACAAAGTAAACACGACGTTTATGTTACAATAAGATAGCATGTTTGATTTCTTCTTCTTCTTGTAGGAAGATAACGGGTTGAAACTTCATAACAGAAATCTGACGGTCTTGTAGAAAGCCATCATACAATTTATAATAAATTGTTCTTGTTAGAATTGATCTTTGATCGTCATAATTAGTTGTTGCTTTCCTAAGCTCTTTTTTAGAGAAACTACGAATAGGATTACATTTGCCATTAAAAGTGGTAATCAATTGTTTTAGTAACATTGCACCATTCTCCAAACTATTATCGTCCCTTCGGGGAAAACATGAAGTCATCTTACTTGATCTAAAAAAAACATGGAATGCTTTCATTTATTTAACCAATAATTTAGAACATCAAGTATACAAGTATTAGAAAACATGAAAAAGAAAAAAAATCATCCTGTATGTATATAAAGCTAACTATAGTATAAGTTTATACAAATGAATGTTTTATAATCTATATATTTTATTCAGAAAAATAATGTTTTCGAGTTAGATCACTGTCTAACGTAAAATAAATCAAGAATAAAAATAGGTGAAATGAAGGGATTTAGAAAGATGATGTACCTGTGATGTGAGGATGGCCAATTCACCCTGTGCTAATTAATTGAAATTGTTTGAGAGAGCTAAGGAAATTTTTCAGTTAAAGTAGACCATAAAATGTGATGAAGCACAATTAATGAACTTTTATGTACATAACCAGAAATCTTATTCCTTGAAAGTCAGCAGCCCTTGAGTCCTAAAAATTTAAAAAAGACTTGCATGTTCTTCACGGAATAATTTGTATGTGGGTGTGGCGTAAGAGATAACACGTTAACTGTTGATGGCGAATGTACATTGATCAGAAATATATGGATACGTCTACCTGAGCTGTCCACAGCCCACTAAATTAACAAACCCCAAACCCAAACAATGGAGCCCTTTGATAAATGGGTTTTGGGTATAATTAACAAACCCCCAAACAAGGAGCCCTTTGATAAATGGGCTTTGGGTATAAATTAACAAACCCCAAACAAGAATTGTTAACAAGAAGCTGTAGCAGCTGGAAGGGATGGGAAATTAGCAGAATGCAGAAAGTCCTTTATTTAATTTTTTTTCTCAAAAATTCTGCTTGACGTTCATCCTAATTGGTTAGAACAAATAACTTTACCTTTTTGCATAAAATTCTTGTAACTTTATATCTCCTTTTTTATCTCCATGTTTGTGAAAGTTATCTGTAATTGCTTAGAGAATGACTTGTGCTCTAAAATCTAGATTACAATTTCTTTTTTCTAAGTGGATTAAAGTTAATATTCTCTGTCAAGCAGCTCTATATGCAAATTTGTTGAGAGCACCATAAGTTCACATTAAAAGCCTCCATAGACGTAAATTAGTACATATTTTTTTGGTCGGATGGTTAAACAGTCACAAGTGCGGACATCCAACTTAGCCAATGAGTAAACTACATACACTGATCTTGTTTTAACTAAGTGTAAGACATTTGTATGGTTTATGCGAACATCCAAGGAAGAGACCCTTGAGTGTATTTGCCTTTGTCATAACAGCAGACATCCATTCTTCAGGTGTGGCAAACCTATATATATAATATCCGAATGTTGATTAAGAAAATCAGATGGAAAGTTTGTGCTATGTTGCAGTTCAAGTACAAATCGATTGACGACTCGAGGTTAATTGACATGACTTTCCAAAGAAACCATTAGTTGATGGATTGTGATCTTTCAAGGGTCACAAAAGTATTATGCCTGTACAAAAGCATGGACAAAATCTACTTCCACTTGAAAACTTAAGAAATAGTTTATTTGAAGGTTTTCAACTATTGCCGTGGAAATGAAGGCATGAATTATTGATACATCCATAAACAAGGAAAGTAGAATCCTTAATACATAAACTGATGACATGCTAACTAGACTTGTACATTTGTCTCAGTTGCTTTGCCACATCTATCATATTTGGCCTATCTTCTGCTTTAGGAGAGAGACATTCCGACACTAACCTTGCAAGAGCTAGTAATTGTTGTTCTTTTACAGAACATATTCCCTCTCTGACAATTACTGGATCTATTATGTCATTTAGATTATCAGGTCCAATATCCTTCATCTGAAAAACTTTATTATGGAGAAAGTGATAAAATTTCTGTCCACTCAAAAGCGTAGACAAGCATGCACCAAAGCCATAGACATCAACCTTCTCATTGTAAGTAGTTTTCTTTTTCTGATCCTTTCCAAGTAAAAACTCAGGTGGATCATATTCACGCCTTATTCTTGTCAGCCAAGGGCTTTCCAAGTGAGTTTTACCCTCTGGAATAAACTCAGATACTGAAAAATCAAATAGCTTTACAACATATTGCTCATCTAGTAAAATGCTCCATGGTGAGAGACTTAGAAGAACAATAGGTCTAGGGAATCCAAGGTGAAGATATGCAAGTGCGTTAGCCATCTCCATTGCTATCTTTAACCTGAGTTTCAACAATAAAGGTCCAAGATGGGGTTGGGAATGACCCAAAATACGATCAGCAAGTGTTGTACGTCCAATGGAATCAAAAACTAGAATGGGAAATCGAGTTTCTAAACAACATCCGATCAACTTCAGAAAATTCTTATGTTTCATTTGTGCTGCAAATACAATGTCATTGATGCCTTGTTGGATTGCATTTCTTCTTTTTCTAGGAAGATAATGTGTTCAAACTTCATAACATAAATCTGACGATCTTGAATAAAGCCATTGTACAACTTATGAAAAGTCATATGTGTTAGAATTAATCCGTCATCGTCATAATTAATTGTTGCTTCCCTGAGCTCTTTCTTGGAGAAACTACGAATAGGATTACATATGCCATTACAAGTGGCAATCAACTGTTTTAGTAACATTGCACCATTCTTCAAATTATGATCATCCTTTCGAGGAAAACATGAACTCATCTTACTTGATCTATAAAAAAAACCCATGAAATGCTTTCATTTATTTAACCATTAATTCGGAACATCAAGTATACAAGTATTAGAAAACATGAAAAAAGAAAAAATTTGATCTTGTATGTATATAAATACATTAGCAAACTATAGTATAATTGTACACAAATGAATATTCTATGTATTTTATTCAGAAAAAGAATGTTTTGAACTAAGATCATTGTCTAATGTAAAGAAAATTAAGTATAAAAATAGGTGAAACAGAGTAGCAATGAAAGTAATCATACATGCAGAATTAATTAAGCAAAGACAGAGATTTACAAAGACGACGTATCTGTGAGGATGGCCAATTCGCCCTGTGCTAATTAATCAAAATTGTTAAGAAAAAAGAAAGGCCAATTAAAATCTGATGAAGCACAGTTAATGGACTTTTATGTACATGACAAGTCAGCCGCCGTTGACTCTTGAGTCCTAAAGAAGACTTGCATGTTCTTCACGGAATAATTCGCAATTGGCTTAAGAGAGAACTCGTAACTGTTGATGGCGAATTCATGGACTAAAATATACATTGACTAAAATACATGGAGACGTCTACAGCCCACTAAATTTGCAAACCCCAAACAAGGAGCCCTTTGATAAATGGGTTTTGGGCATAACTTAACAAACCCGCAAACAATGAGCCCTTTGATGAATGGGCTTTGGGTATAAAATAACAAACCCCAAACAAGAATTATTAACAAGAAGCTGGCCGAGCTGAAAGGGATGGGAAATTAGCAGAATGCAGTAAGCCCTTTATTTAATTTTTTTCTCAAGAAAACATGTTACAGTAATAATTAAGCAGAATTCCGCTTGACATTCATCTCCTTTTTTCATAAAATTCTTTTAACTTTATATCTCCTTTTTTCACTCCACGTTTGTGAAAGACTTGTGCTCTAAAATCTAGATTACAATTTCTTTTTTCTAAGTGGATTAAAGTTAATATTCTCTGTCAAGCAGCTCTGTATGCAAATTTGTTGAGAGCACCAACACTTTTGCCGAGTCGAAGAAGTGAAGATCAAACCAAACAAGCGTATAAGATGCTATCTGATTTCTTCAGGTTTGCATTAAATACATTTCTTTACATTCTTTTTTTGCGTGTCCATTTTGTTTTGAAACTTTATATCAGAATTCATGCTGCCTTGCAGATATGGAATGAATACTTCATGTTGTCGAGCTAAAATACTTGTGGAGTACTTTGGGGAGGACTTTGGTCATGACAAATGTCTAATGTATGTAATATTTCTTTTGATTTTTAGTTCTTTCTTTTAATATCACAGTGAAATCCACTTCTGTACTGGGTTAACCAAGGCTTCTCTCATTTAGTTTGAATCTTGAACATACTGTTTTCGAAATGTTTAAGAAGTGAGCGTTATAGTCTATACTGTTATTCTCTTTCTAATAATTTGGATAAATATATGTTTCGTTCCTGTAATTATGTTATCGTATCGTATCACATCTGAGGTGAATCATGAATAAATAAAAGCGAGTTTTATTTTGAAAAAGGTAATAATAGTTGAAGCCTTTGTATGCAGGTGTGATGTGTGTTGCAGGTGTGATGTGTGATGTGTGTGTTAATGGACCTCCTGTAATGCAGAATTTGAAGGAGGAAGAAAATCAGGTTATTGCTACTTATAGTGTTAAGTGTTGTGGCTTCTCTTCCCGTACCTTGCGGCTTTATCGTTCTGTTTACATATGAATCCATGCATAACAGCATAATCTCATCTTTGGAAGTTATTGTCATGGGCCAAGTTTAATACTTATATCGGTAATACTACACTTATAAACTCTTCTCATTAACTTTCTCTCATAAACGCGACGTGTCAACTAGTAATTAGTTATCGGTCTCGTTTGGTTAACAATAAGTCCTGCTAGACCAAATGCAAACTAATCAATTACGAATTATTATATTAGTGTTTATGAGAGAAAGTTACGAGAAATGTTTATCAAACTATTTATATTCTACTCATGTTGATGTTTGGACACTATTTTTCTAATGGTTTATGCCAAAATTCAGGTTTGGAAAAATTCTTTGGATGGCTCATATGATGATGTTATGTGTGGTGACACTAAACGACAAAAATTCATGGAGAAGCCAAACCTCAGGATGTTTGTCAGTAAAATAAGGGAGCATGCGTTACGTGCTCTATTTCATCTCAATCACATAGAAAACCACGAAAATCAAGAAAGTTAAGAAGACGAAAGTCTAGAAAATCTAACCCAAAACCGGGCACTGTTTGAAATAGATTAGTTTCAAAACTCTCAAAAAAGAAGTCATGAATCAAAGTCAACAGAGTATTAGTTTTTTTTTTTTTCTGTATAATGTGTGTAGAAACAATGATTAGCTTATCACCCTTCATTTTTGTTAAAGCTCGGAAGATCAGATTTTGATGATGCATTGCTGGGGCAAATGGGTAGTAGCTAGTCTCCTATTTAACTCATTCTTCATTTGCATATATAATAGCTCATCAAATATAGATTGTGACTCATGGTTAATTTACATGACTATCCAAAGAAACCATTAGTTGATAGATTGTGATCTTTTAAGGGTCACAAAAGTATTATGCCTGTACAAAAGCATGGACAAAATCTACTTCCACTCAAAAGCTTAATAAATAGTTTATTTGAAGGTTTTCAACCACTGCCATGGAAATGAAAGCATGAATTATATATACATCTATAAACAAGGAAAGCAGAATCCTTAATACATAAACTGATGACTTGCTAACTAGACTTATACATTTGTCTGAGTTGCTTTGCCACATCTATCATATTTGGCCTATCTTCTGCTTCAATAGAGTAACATTGTGACACAAGCCTTGCAAGAGCTAGCAATTGTTGTTCTTTTACCGAACATATTCCCTCTCCAACAATTGTCGGATCTATTATTTCATTTAGATTATCAGGTCCAATATTCTCCATCTGAAAATCTTCATTCTTGAGAAAGTTATTTACACTCTGTCCACTCAAAAGCATAAACAGCGATGCACCAAAGCCATAGACATCAACCTTCTCATTGCAAGTCTTCTTATTGCAAGCCCTTGCAAGTAAACACTCAGGTGGAACATATTCACGCCCTCCTCTTGTCGGCAAAGGGCTTTCCACGTGAGTTTCACCCTCTGGAATAAACTCAGATACTGAAAAATCAAATAGTTTTGCAACATATTGCTCATCTAGTAAAATGTTCCTTGGTGAGAGGCCTAGAAAAACAATAGGTCTAGGGAATCTAAGGTGAAGATATGCAAGTGCATTAGCTATCTCCATTGCAATCTTTAACCTGAGTTTCAACAATAAAGGTCCAAGATGGGGTTGAGATTGACCCAAAATACGGTCAAAAAGTGTCGTACATCCAACGGATTCAAAAACTAGAATGGGAATTCGAGTTTCTAAACAACATCCAATCAACTTCAAAAAATTCTTATGTTTCATTTGTGTCGCAAATATAATGTTATTGATGGCCTGTTTGATTTCTTCTTCTTCTTGTAGGAAGATAATGGGTTGAAACTTCATAACAGAAATCTGACGATCTTGTAGAAAGCCATCGTACAATTTATAAGAAATTGTTTTTGTTAGAATTGATCTCTGATCGTCATAATTAGTTGTTGCTTTCCTGAGCTCCGTCTCGGAGAAATTACGAATAGGATTACATTTGCCATTAAAAGTGGCAATCAACTGTTTTAGTAACATTGCACCATTCTCGAAACCATTATCGTCCCTTCGGGGAAAACATGAAGTCATCTTACTTGATCTACAAAAAAAACCCATGAAATACTTTCACTTATTTAACCAATAATTTAGAACATCAAGTATACAAGTATTAGAAAACATGAAAAAGAAAAAAAATTGATCCTGTATGTATATAAAGCTAACTATAGTATAAGTTTATACAAAAGAATGTTCTATAATCTATATATTTAATTCATAAAAAGAATGTTTTCAACTTAGATCATTGTCTAACGTAAAATAAATCAAGAGTAAAAATAGGTAAAACAAAAGGATTTAGAAAGACGATGTACCTGTGATGTGAGGATGGCCAATTCACCCTGTGCTAATTAATCGAAATTGTTTGAGAGAGCTAAGGAAATTTTTCAGCTAAAGGAGCCCATCAAATGTGATGAAGCACAATTAATGAACTTTTGTGTACATAACCAGAAATCTTATTCCTTGAAAGTCAGCAGCCCTTGAATCCTAAAAAAGACTTGCATGTTCTTCACGGAATAATTTGTATGTGGCTTAAGAGAGAACACGTAACTGTTGATGGCGAATAGGCATTGATTAGAAATATATGGATACGTCTACCTGAGCCGTCCACAGCCCACTAAATTAACAAACCCCAAACCCAAATAATTGAGCCCTTTGATAAATGGGTCTTGGGTATAATTAATAAACCCCCAAACAAGGAGCCCTTTGATAAATGGGCTTTGGGTATAAGTTAACAAACCCCAAACAAGAATTATTAACAAGATGCTGTAGCAGCTGGAAGGGTTGGGAAATTAGCAGAATGCAGTAAGCCCTTTATTTAATTTTTTTCTCAAGAATTCTGCTTGACGTTCATCCTAATTGGTTAGAACAAATAACTTTACCCTTTTGCATAAAATTCTTGTAACTTTATATCTCCTTTTTTCTCTCCATGTTTGTGAAGGTTATCCGTAATTGCTTAGAGAATGACTTGTGCTCTAAAATCCAGATTACAATTTCTTTTTTCTAAGTGGATTAAAGTTAATATTCTCTGTCAAGCAGCTCTATATGCAAATTTGTTGAGAGCACCAACACTTTTGCCGAGTCGAAGAAGTGAAAATCAAACCAAACAAGCGTATAAGATGCTATCTGATTTCTTCAGGTTTGCATTAAATACATTTCTTTACATTCTTTTTTTGCGTGTCCATTTTGTTTTGAAACTTTATATCAGAATTCATGTTGACTTGCAGATAGGGAATGAATACTTTGGGGAGGACTTTGGTCATGACAAATGTCTAATGTATGTAATATTTCTTTTGATTTTTAGTTCTTTCTTTTAATATCACAGTGAAATCCACTTCTGTATTGGGTTAACCAATGCTTCTCTCCTTTAGTTTGAATCTTGAACATACTGTTTTTGAAATGTTTAAGAAGTGAGCTTTATAGTCTTCTATATTGTTATTCTCTTTCTAATACTTTGGATAAATAGATGTCTCGTTCTTGTAATTATGCTATCATATCGTATCAAATTTGAGGTGAATCATAATTCATGAATAAATAAAAGTGAGTTTTATTTTGAAAGTGGTAATAATAGTTGAAGCCTTTGTATACTGGTGTGATGTGTGTGTTAATGGACCTCCTGTAATGCAGAATTTGAAAGAGGAAGAAAATATTTTGATGCAGGTTATTGCTGCTTATAGTGTTAAGTGTTGTGGCTTCTCTTCCCGTACCTTGCGGCTTTATCTTTCTGCTTACATATGAATCCATGCATAACAGCATAATCTCATCTTTGGAAGTTATTGTCATGGGCCAAGTTTAATACTTAGATCGGTAATACTACACTCGCAAACCCTTCTCACTAATTTTCTCTCATAAACGCAACGTGTCAGTTCATAATTGGTCATCTCGCAATGGATCTCGTCTGCCCAACAATGGGTCCTGTCAGACCAAATGCGAACAGACCAATTGCGAGCTGCCACGTCAGTGTTTGTGACAGAAAATTGTGAGAAGTGTTTGTCAACCTATCTTTATTCTATTTAGATAGATGTTTGGACACTATTTTTCTAATGGTTTATGCCAAAATTCAGGTTTGGAAAAATTCTTTGGATGGCTCATATGATGATGTGTTATGTGTAGTGACACTAAACGACAAAAATTCATGGAGAAGACAAACCTCAGGATGCTTGTCAGTAAAACAAGGGAACATGCGTTCCATGATCTATTTCATCTAATGCTTCACATGTATTTTTTTTTTTAAGACATGAAAGATGAATTTTGACAAGTTTTTATATGATGACAGTCTCAAAAATTTTTGGCAACCGATTCACTATGGTAGCGAGGTCTTGTTCGAATCTTGGAAAATAAATGATATATCAGGGAAGGAGATGAGAAGGTATGCTCTCAAATCAACTTTTCTCTTCTCCTAGAGTAATTTCTGGTCCATTCATTCATTCACTACTAGAGTTGTTAAGCATAGTTTCCTGGCAGTAGCTAGGACGTAATTGTGAACTAGATGAGAATTTTTATAGTTCAAGAGCATTTGTCTTGGCATGTATTACTTATGCAGTTTGTATGCTTCCGTATCTGTCGAAGTATGAATCTTTGATAGAGGATACGAGAAGATGGCGATGGGGAATGAATGCTGTTAAAGAAAAATTAGTGTCGTGGCATGACCCAAGAATTTCAATTTGAGATAAACTCAAATGGAAGTTATTTTCAGTTTTATTATTTTCTAACTTCTTGTAACTGTTGTTGTTAGTTATCCCTTTAAAACTTATAAAAGGGAATGTTAGATGTACGTTTTAATTGAGTTTAATTAATAAAATTGTTCTCCTTTTACACAAGTTCATCTTCTTCTGAAATTAGAAGCCGAATAACTGTATTTCCTGGCTTCTAATTTCCAACAAATGGTATCAAAGCATTGTTGTCTTAAGGGACCTGTGGGAGATGGGACCAAAGTTTGGAGAAGAAGAAGCCAACACTCAAAGCAATAAGGGTGGTTGGTAGAATTTGTTGGTGTAAAATTGCAGCATGATTGTCTGCAAGGATGCTGGCCGGTGGAATCTGAAAATGTCCTGAAACTCCGGTTAAAACATGGAGGTAGATGAAGAATTGCAGTGATTGTCTGCAATGATGCCGTTGAGAGGACTTGATGATGTCCTGGAAAAAGCACGAAGTGAAGAACATGCTTTCTAATTGTGAGAGACTCCAATTGAAGTCTGGAGTGAGAAGAGACCAACACCCAAAGAAGTGGTAGGTCGTATTTGTGATGCTTACATACTTGAGGAGTAAACTTGAAGATGAGGCTGAAAAAGTCTTGGTTGAAGGATTGGCAGCGTGGCAGTAACATTAGCTGCGAGAAGAGCAGCAAGATTGGCCGCAAGTTTGGCTGCAGAGTTGGCAGCAAAGCAGCAAGATTGGTTGCAAGTTTGGCATGACAGCCATGAAGGCGTGAAGAGCCTTAAAGACATGATGAAGAACATGTTTTAAAGTTTCTACCAAAAGATTCAGGAGGAGTATTGAAGTATGAATCTTTTGATAGAGGATACGAGAAGATGGCAACAGGGAACAAATGCGGTTAAAGAAAAATTAGTGCTGTGGCATGACCCAAGCATTTCAGTTTGAGATAAACTCAAATGGAAGTTATTTTTAATTTTATTATTTTTTAATTTCTTGTAACTGTTATTGTCAGTTATCCTTTTAAAACTTATAGAAGGGAATGTTGGATATATGTTTTAATTGAGTTCAATTAACAAAATTGTTCTCCTTTTACTACTTTTTCTTTTTCTTTCTGAAATTAGAAGCCTGAGAACTGTATTTCCTAGCTTCTAATTTCCAACAGTATCCTTTAGAGCGTGCATATGATTGTTTATGTTTTTTGCCAATCTACTCAACCACACCGTTATTTGTAGATCCACGTTCACATTAAATTCCCAGAGCCAACAGAACTCGGATTGGAGTTTCTGCAATCAGACAACGAGCAAACTTTTTACGTTTACACTGAATCCGACATGCTGCTCTCTGCAAGCGAATGCAAATCTTATTCCAGCTTCTCAAAGTGGGGAAAAGGTTGGGCTGATTCTGAGATTCGTCGCCAGTGCTTAGAGAGGAGGCAATCACACAAAAAACCACAAAAATCATGAAAGTCAAGATTACGAAAGTCTAGAAAATCTAACCCGGAACCGAGCACTGTTCAAAGTAGATTAGCTACAAAACTCTCAAAAAAAGAAGTCATGAATCAAAATCATCAGAATTTTAGTTTTGGTTTTTTTCTGTGTAATGTATGTGTAGAAACAATGATTAGCTTATGACGCTTCATTTTTGTTAAAGCTCTGACGATCAGATTTTGATCATGCATTGTTGGGGCAAATGGGCAGTAGCCAGTCTCCTATTTAACTCATTCTTCATTTGCATTTATAATAACTCATCAAATATAGCCATTATTGGATCAACTTTTCTTTGGATTCTATTGATGACTCACGGTTAATTTACATGACTTTCCAAAGGAACCATTAGTTGATAGATTGTGATCTTTCAAGGGTCACAAAAGCACGGACAAAATCTACTTCCACTTGAAAACTTAAGAAATAGTTTATTCGAAGGTTTTCAACTACTGCCATGGAAATGAAGGCATGAATTATTGATACATCCATAAACAAGGAAAGCATAATCCTTAATATAGAAACTGGTGACATGCTAACTAGACTTGTACATTTGTCTTAGTTACCTTGCCACACCTATCATATTTGGCCTATCTTCTGCTTCAGGAGAGAGACATTCCGACACAAGCCTTGCAAGAGTTAGCAATTGTTGTTCTTTTACCGAACATATTCCCTCTCCAACAAATGCCGGATCTATTATTTTATTTAGATTATCAGGTCCAATATCCTCCATCAGAAAATCTTTACTCTTGAGAAAGTTTTTTAAGCTTAGTCCACTCAAAAGCATAAATAGCGATTCGCCAAAGCAATAGACATCAAGCTTCTCATTGCAAGTATTATTCTTAGCCACATCCCTTGCAAGAAAAAACTCAGGTGGAACATAATCATACCATACTCTTTTCGTCAGAGGGACTTCCAACTGAGTTTTACCCTCTGGAATAAACTCAGATAATGAAAAATAAATAGTTTTACAACATATTGCTCATCAAATAAAATGATCCCTGGTGTGACACCTCCAAAAACAATAGGTCTAGGGAATCCAAGGTGAAGATATACAAGTGCATGAGCTATCTCCATTGCAATCTTTAACCTGAGTTTCAACAATAAAGGTCCAAGACGGGGTTGAGAATGACCCAAAATACGATCAGCAAGTGTCATACATCCAACGGAATCAAAAACTAGAATGGGAAATTGAGTTTCTAAACAACATCCGATCAACTTCAGAAAATTCTTATGTTTCATTTGTGCTGCAAATACAATGTTGTTGATGCCAAATCGGATTACTTCTTCTTCGTGTGGGAAGCAAATGGGTTCAAACTTCATAACACAAATCTGACGGTCTTGTAGAAAGCCATTGTACAACCTATAAAACATTTTATTTGTTGTAATTAATCTTTGATTGTCGTAGTTAATAGTTGCTTTCCTAAGCTCTTTCTCGGAGAAACTACGAATATGATTACATTTGCCATTAAAAGAGGCAATCAACTGTTTCAGTAACATTGCACCATTCTTCAAATTATTATCGTCCTTTCGGGGAAAACATGAACTCATCTTACTTGATCTACAAAAAAACCCATGAAATGCTTTCATTTATTTAACCAATAATTTGGAACATCAAGTATAAAAGTATGAGAAAACATGAAAAAAAAAAAAAAATTGATCATATATATATATATAAATACATTAGATAACTACAGAATAACTTTACACAAATGAATGTTCTATGTATTTTATTCAGAAAAAGAATGTTTTAAACTAAGATCATTATCTAACGTAAAGAAAATTAATCAAGAGTAAAAATAGGTGAAAGAAAGGGATTTACAAAGACGATGTACCTGTGATGCGAGGATGGCTAATTCGTTGCCCTGTGCTAATTAATTGAAATTGTTAAGAAAAAAGAAAGGCCTGGGTTTGAGAGAGCTAAGGAAATTTTTCAGTTAAAGGAAAGCACAAAATGTGATCAAACACAATTAATGAACTTTTATGTACATAACCAGAAATCTGATTCCTTGAAAGTCAGCTGCCCTTGACTCTTAGAGTCCTTAAGAAGACTTTCATGTTCTTCACGGGTTAATTCGCAAGTGGCTTAAGAACACGTAGCTGTTGATGGCGAATTCATGTACTGTATAAACTAAAATGTACACTAGGACATAATGGAAATATATGGATACGTCTACCTGACAACTCAGCCCACTAAATGGGTTTTGGGTATAAATTAACAAACCCCCAAACAAGGAGTCCTTTGATAAATGGGCTTTGGGTATAAATTAACAAACCCTAAACAAGAATTATTAACAAGAAGCTGGCCGAGCTGGAAGAGATGGGAAATTAGCAGCATGCAGTAAGCCCTTAATTTATTAAGTAATGCTAGCCTTACTCACTCCCCCTACTTACTTCTCTTACTCACCTTTGTTAAAATAGTAAATTCTTATTTATTTTTTTCCTAAAGAAAACATGTTATAGTAACAATTAAGCAGAATTCTGCTTGACATTCATCCTAATTGGTTAGAATAAATAACTTTACCTTTTTGCATAAAATTCTTGTAACTTTATATCTCCTTTTTCAACTCCATGTTTGTGAAAGTTATCTGTAATTGCTTAGAGAATGACTTTTTCCTTTTTCTAAGTGGATTAAAGTTAATATTCTCTATCAAGCAGCTCTATATGCAAATTTGTTGAGAGCACCAACACTTTTGCCAAGTCGAAGAAGTTAAGATCAAACCAAACAGGCATATAAGACGCTATCTGATTTCTTCAGGTTTGCATTAAATACATTTCTTTAATGCAACCTGAAGAAATACTTCATGTTGACTTGCAGATATGGAATGAATACTTCATGTTGTCGAGCTAAAATACTTGTGGTTGTGGAGTACTTTGGGGAGGAGTTTGGTCATGACAAATGTCTAATGTATGTAATATTTCTTTTGATTTTTAATGTGACAGTGAGCATACTGTTTTTGAAATATTGTTATTCTCTTTCTAATACTTTGGATAAATATATGTCTCGTTCTTGTAACTATGCTATCATATCGTATCACATTTGAGGTGAATCATAATTCATGAATAAATAAAAGTGAGTTTTATTTTGAAAAAGGTAATAATAGTTGAAGCCTTTGTATACAGGTGTGATGTGTGTGTTAATGGACCTCCTGTAATGCAGAATTTGAACGAGGAAGAAAATATTTTGATGCAGGTTATTGCTACTTATAGTGTAAGTGTTGTGGCTTCTCTTCCCGTACCTTGCGGCTTTATCTTTCAGTTTACATGTGAATCCATGCATAATCTCATCTTTGGAAGTTATTGTCATGGGCCAAGTTTAATACTTATATAGATGCTTGGACATTATTTTTCTAATGATTTTCCAATTTTTCTATAAAACTTACAAGGTTTATATCTAAATTCAGGTTTGGAAAAATTCTGTGGATGGCTCATATGATGATGTTATGTGTAGTGACATTAGACGACAAAAATTCATGGAGAAGCTAAACCTCAGGATGTTTGTCAGTAAAATAAGGGAGCTGGCAAGCCTTTCAGACGGAGGATATTGGACCTGATAATCTAAATGAGATAATAGATCCGGTAATTGTTGGACAGGAAATATGTTCGGTAAAAGAACAACAATTGCTAGCTCTTGCAAAGCTTGTGGCGGAATGTCTCTCTCTTGAACCAGAAGATGGGCCAAATATGATAGATATGGCAAAACAACTCAGAAAAATGTACAAGTCTAGTTAGCATATCATCGGTTTAAGAATTCTACTTTACTTACTTTATGGATGTATCAATAATTCATTCTTTCATTTCCATGACAATAGTTGAAAACCTTCAAATAAACTAATTGATAAATTTTCAGGTGTAAGTAGATTTTGTCTATTCTCTGCAGTTTTAGAAACAACTATTTATTATCGATAAGTAGAATCCAAAGAAAAGTTGATCTAATAATGGCTATATTTGATGAGTTATTATATATGCAAATGAAGAATTAGAATCGAGTTAAATAGGACAATGGCTACTACCCATTTGCCCCAACAATGCATCATCAAAATCTCATATGATGTTATGTGTAGTGACACTAAACGACAAAAATTCGTGGAGAAGCCAAACCTGAGGATGTTTGTCAGTATAATAAGGGAGCATGCGTTACATGATCTATTTCATCTCATTCTTCACATGTATTTTTTTTTTTTTTTTTTAAGACATGAAAGATGAATTTTGACAAGTTTTTATATGATGACAGTCCCAATTTTATATTTAAAACTTAAATAAATGGACAAATTGACAAATTTTTTGAACAATGCTTAACAATAACATAAAAACGAGGCTTAAATAACATTTCAATATGAAAATAGTTGCATATATTTTTATATTGCACAATTTAAAATAGTGATTTCAATTTTTTTGCAGGCTTTTTGAAGGGTAAAAGTGTAACATAACAAACTATAAGGATTCAAAATGACTTTCCCAACCCAGTCCCTAATTTTAAGTTTCGCGCCGGTCAGTTAATTAAAAAAAGAAAAAAGAAAAAAAAAGAAGTTACCGAAATCCTAGGGTTTCAATCACTCTCGACTCTCCCGATCAGTAAATTAACAATTGTTTGAATAATTTCGTTGGCTCTTTGAATGATTTGTTATTGGTTTTTAGATCCTTTATTTTTGGGTTTACATTATTTATATATATCTTGAAAATTGAAAAGTTTTCATAAAATGAGTGGTAATGGCGATCAAGTTATTGCAAAGCTGATTGAGATGGGATTTGAAAATTCAGCTGTTGTAGAAGCTGTAGAAGCAGTTGGCCCATTGTTTGACGAAGCCATTGAGTATGTTTTGAATGGTTCCAATAGAAATTGTAACGGCGTATCTAATACTAGTAGTAGTTCGCATTGTTTCAAAAACAATGGGAATGGGAAGACTCAGGGCAAAAGAGGTTTAGGACAGTCTAGCATATTGGATCATTTTCAATCTAGGCAAAAAAGAAGTCAAAGTGATGTTGTATCTGATGGACTGGTTTCTAGGGCTGGGTCGGTAGTGTTGCCTGGTGTTGTTGGATAACATAAGGGGGCTTGTCTTGATGTGGGGTGTAATGGGAAGATGGAGGTTGAGTCGTTGCCAGTTTTGTCTAAACAAGAGGCGAAGATTGGGTCAGATTGGGAGGTGAAAGTGAATAGTCTGTTACAAAAGCAGTTTGGTTATTCATCATTGAAGAAGTTTCAGAAGGAAGCGCTGGCGGCTTGGTTAGATCATCAAGACTGTTTAGTTCTTGCTGCAACAGGATCTGGTATTGTGCTTTGCTTAGCTAATGTTTGTTGTCTGTTAGGCTGTTTCTGTCTCTATATTATTGGGTGGCTCATGTTTTGTTATAGTTCCCTGTCTGCAGGGAAATCTTTGTGCTTCCAGATTCCGGCTTTGTTAACGGGAAAGGTTGTGGTTGTGATTTCACCCTTGATAAGCTTGATGCATGATCAGTGCTCAAAGCTGTCAAAACATGAGGTATCTGCTTGCTTTCTTGGATCCGGGCAACCTGACAGCAGCGTCGAGCAGAAAGCAATGAGAGGAATGTACAATATAATATATGTTTGCCCAGAGACTGTGTTAAGGTGAGGGACATGTATTACCATTTGGCTAGCGTATCAAAGAGGTTGTTCCTAATTTCATATGACTGAAGGAGTATGATAAATTTTCTGCAGACTGATAAAACCACTTCAGAGGCTTGCTGAAAATCGTGGAATTGCATTATTTGCGATTGATGAAGTCCATTGTGTTTCTAAGTGGGGCCATGATTTTAGGCCTGACTACAGGTTCTATTCTCCATTCCAACCACATGGCTATTTCTACAGTCTTTGCTACAATCTACTTTACATTTACTTCAGTGGTCGGATTTTTGCAAGATTTGTCTATAGTTGCACAATTATTTTGAATGAATTTATGAACAGCTCTAAATGACTATCAATTGATCAAATGTTTACAAAACGGACATATGAGGCCAAACATATGTTATTTCTCCCTGGATATACNAAGAATGTTTTGAACTAAGATCATTGTCTAATGTAAAGAAAATTAAGTGTAAAAATAGGTGAAATAGAGTAGCAATGAAAGTAATCATACAGGCAGAATTAATTAACCAAAAACAAAGGAATTTACAAAGATGATGTACCTGTGATGTGAGGATGGCCAATTCGCCTTGTTAAGAAAAAAGAAAAGCCTGAGTTTGAGAGAGCTAGGGAAATTTTTCAGTTGAAGTGGACCATAAAATCTGATGAAGCACAATTAATGGACTTTTATGTACATAACCGGGAATCTTATTCCTTGGAAGTCACTGCCCTTGACTCTTGTGTCCTAAAGAAGACTTATCTGTTATTTTTTTCTATGGTTACACTGTATTCATTGGCTTTAGTTGTGAAACATAATCAAAAGCAATGTGTGAATGAATAGTTTCCACTTTGTAATAACTCAACTTCAATGCTCTCTATTCTGTTTCCTGATCACTTCTATTTTTTGCAGTTGCCTGTGGTGAATTTTATGGGCATTCTCCTCGTGAAGATTGGGATACATGTGGGTCATCTCGGATAACTGATCCACCTGATAAGCTAGAAGAAAGAGTACGAACCATGAAAGAGCCTTTAGAACAAGGGCCAATCATCATTTATGTTCCTACTAGAAAAGAAACTTTGAGGATCGCGAAATATCTTTGTGGATTTGGTGTGGAGGCTGCTGCCTATAATGCAGCTGTATGTATACACAAACTTATTACTTCAGGTCCATTTAGATGATTAATAGACTTAGGTCTGTCGCATTCCAATTGTGGTTATGCAGTGTATTCAAAATTTGACTTCTTGTTCCTCAGTTGCCAAAATCACATTTAAGGCGGGTTCACAATGAATTTCATGAAAACAAGCCAGAGGTATGGACTTTCAGGCTTTGGATCTGATACGGGAAATTGATAATTCCATATAGTCATATGTTTCAATTAGTTTTACTTTTGAAAACTAACCATTTTGTGTATGATGTTGGGCATTTCTGTTTCTGAAGGCCCGTACTTTTTCAAGTTCATTTTTTCTTTTTATTTACTGATTTAAAACCCTATACTCTTCATCCTTCTATGATGTGTTTTTTTTTTATGTAGTGTCATTGGGAAATAGGAAAATACAATTTATGACACCGCAATTTTGCCAATTCCATCCAGGTTGTTGTTGCAACGATTGCTTTTGGAATGGGGATCGACAAGTTAAATGTTCGAAGAATCATCCACTACGGTTGGCCACAGGTTTATATTTAGGATTAAGTGTTGCTGCAAAATGTTATTGTAAGATGTTATTCATTTTTAGTGCACTTATGTTTATGCTGCGAATAAATTCTTGCAATTGTCGGTTCTCTAAGGCAATCAGTAGTTTACATTCCTGTTTTGGAACTTGCATAACAGTTGCTTTTCCAAATTATGTCTTGCTATTATCAGTTGTTCAGTCTTGTGAGCTTCCTGTAATCTTTAATCTAATTGCAGAGTCTTGAAGCTTATTATCAAGAAGCTGGCCGAGCTGGAAGGGATGGGAAATTAGCAGAATGCAGTAAGGCCTTTATTTATTTATTTTCACAAGAAAACATATTACAGTAAAAATTGAGCAGAATTTTGCTTGACCATTCTTCCTAATTGGTTAGACAAATAACTTTACTTTTTTTCATAAAATTCTTGTAACTTTATGTCCCCTTTTTTCACTTTATGTTTGTGAAAGTTATCTGTAATTGTTTAGAGTGTGGCTTGTGCTTTAAAATCTAGATTACAATTTTTTCTTTCTAAGTGGATTAAAGTTAATATTCTTTGTCAAGCAGCTCTATATGCAAATTTGTTGAGAGCACCAACACTTTGACCGAGTCGAAGAAGTGAAGATCAAACCAAACAGGCATATAAGATGCTATCTGATTGCTTCAGGTTTGCATTAAATACATTTCTTTACTTTCCTTTTTTTGCGTGTCCATTTTGTTTTGAAACTTTATATCAGAATTCATGTTGACTTGCAGATATGGAATGAATACTTCATGTTGTCGAGCTAAAATACTTGTGGAGCACTTTGGGGAGGAGTTTGGTCATGACAAATGTCTAATGTATGTAATATTTCTTTTGTTTTTTAGTTCTTTCTTTTAATATCACAGTGAAATCCACTTCTGTATTGGGTTAACCAAGGTTTCTCTACTTTAGTTAGAATCTTGTAATTATGCTATCATATCGTATCACATCTGAGGTGAATCATGAATAAATAAAAGCGAGTTTTATTTTGAAAAAGGTAAAAATAGTTGAAGCCTTTGTATGCAGGTGTGATGTGTGTGTTAATGGACCTCCTGTAATGCAGAATTTGAAAGAGGAAGCAAATATTTTGATGCAGGTTATTGCTTCTTATAGTGTAAGTGTTGCAGCTTGTCTTCCTGTTTACATGTGAATCTATGCATAACAGCATAATCTCATCTTTGGAAGTTGTTGTCATGGGCCAAGTTCAATACTTATATAGATGCTTGGACATTATTTTGCTAATGATTTTCCAATTTTTTTATAAAACTTACAAGGTTTATGTCAAAATTCAGATTTGGAAAAATTCTGTGGATGGCTCATATGATGATGTTATGTGTAGTGACATTAGACGACAAAAATTCATGAAGAAGCCAAACCTCAGGATGTTTGTCAGTAAAATAAGGGAGCAGGTGTTACATGATCTATTTCATCTCATTCTTCACATGTATTGTTTTTTAAGACATGAAAGATGAATTTTGAAAAGTTTTTATGTGATGACAGTCCCAAAAATTTTTGGCAACCGATTTGCTATGGTGGCGAGGTCTTGCTCGAATCTTGGAAAATAAAGGATACATCAGAGAAGGAGATGAGAGGCTATGCTCTCAAATTAACGTTTCTCTTAGACTAATTTCTGGTCCATTCATTCTCTACTAGAGTTGTTAAGCATAGTTTCCTGGCAGTAGCTAGTACATAATTGCGATTTTTATGGTTCAAGAGCATTTGTCTTGGCATGTATCACTTATGCATCTTGTATGCTTTCGTATCCTTTAGTGCGTGCATATGAATGCTTACGTTTTTAGCCAATCTACTCAATTACACTGTTATTTGCAGATCCACGTTCAGATTAAATTCCCAGAGCCAACAGAACTTGGACTGGAGTTTCTGCAATCAGACAATGAGCAAACTTTTTATGTTTACCCTGAATCCGACATGCTGCTCTCTGCAAGCAAATGCAAATCTTATTCCAGCTTCTCAGAGTGGGGAAAAGGTTGGACTGATCCCCAGCGCTTAGAGAGCAGGCAATCACACAAAAAACCAAGAAAATCACGAAAGTTAAGAAGACGAAAGTCTAGAATCTAACCCCGAACCGGGCACTGTTAGAAATAGATTAGCTGCAAAACTCTCAAAAAAGAAGTCATGAATCAAAGTCATTAGAGTTTTAGTTTTTTTCTGTACAATGTATGTGTAGAAACAATGATTAGCTCATAACCCTTCATTTTTGTTAAAGCTCTGAAGATGAGATTTTGATGATGCATTGTTGGGGTAAATGGGTAGTAGCCAGTCTCATATTTAACTCATTCTTCATTTGCATTTATAATAACTCATCAAATATAGCCATTATTGGATCAACTTTTCTTTGGATTCTATTGATGACTCACGGTTAATTTACATGACTTTCCAAAGGAACCATTAGTTGATAGATTGTGATCTTTCAAGGGTCACAAAAGTATTATGCTTGTACAAAAAGCATGGACAAAATCTACTTCCACTTGAAAATTTAAGAAATAGTTTATTAGAAGGTTTTCAACTACTGCCATGGAAATGAAAGCATGAATTATTGATACATCCATAAACAAGGAAAGCAGAATCCTTAATACATAAATTGATGACATGCTAACTAGATTTGTACATTTGTCTGAGTTGCTTTGCCACATCTATCATATTTGGCATATCTTCTGGTTCAGGACGGAGACATTCCGACACAAGCCTTGCAAGAGCTAGCAATTGTTGTTCTTTTACTGAACATATTCCCTCTCCAACAATTACCGGATCTATTATCTATTTTAGATTATCAAGTCCAATATCCTCAATCTGCAAACCTTTATTCTTGAGAAAGTTTTTTAAGCTCAGTCCACTCAAAAACATAAACAACAATTCGCCAAAGCAACAGACATCAAACTTCTCATTGCAAGCAAACTTCTCATTGGGAGCTATTGCATGTAAAATGTCGGGTGGAACATATTCATACCATAATTTTTTTGTCAAAGGGACTTCCAAGTGAGTTTTACCCTCTGGAATAAACTCAGATATTGAAAAATCAAATAGTTTTACAACATTTTGCTCATCAAGTAAAATGTTCCACGGTGTGAGACTTCCAAAAACAATAGGTCTAGGGAATCCAAAGTGAAGATATGCAAGTGCATGAGCCATCTCCATTGCAATCTTTAACCTAAGTTTCAACAATAAAGGTCCAAGACGGGGTCGAGAATGACCCCAAATACGATCAGTAAGTCTAATACATCCAACGGAATCAAAAACTAGAATGGGAAATCGAGTTTCTAAACAACATCCGATCAACTTCAGAAAATTCTTATGTTTCATTTGTGTTGCAAATACAATGTTGTTGATGCCCCGTTGGATTACTTCTTCTTCCTGTGGTAAGCAAATGGGTTCAAACTTCATAACACAAATCTGACGGTCTTGTAGAAAGCCATTGTACAACCTATAAAAAAGTTTATTTGTTGTAATTAATCTCTCATTGTCATAATTAATAGTTGCTTTACTGAGCTCTTTCTCGGAAAAACTACGAATAGGATTACATTTGCCATTACATGTGGCAATTAACTGTTTCAGTAACATTGCACTATTCTTCAAATTATTCTCGTCTTTTCGAGGAAAACATGAACTCATCTTACTTGATCTACAAAAAAAACCCATGAAATACTTTCATTTATTTAACCAATAATTTGGAACATCAAGTATACAAGTATTAGAAAACATGAAAAAAGAAAAAAAAAAATGATCCTGTATATATATAAATACATTAGCTAACTACAGTATAACTTTACACAAATGAATGTTCTATGTATTTTATTCAGAAAAAGAATGTTTTGAACTAAGATCATTATCTAACGTAAAGAGAATTAATCAAGAGTAAAAATTGGTGAAAGAAAGGGATTTACAAAGACGATGTACCTGTGATGTGAGGATGGTCAATTCGTTGGGCTATGCTAATTTAAGAAAAAAGTAAGGCCTGAGTTTGAGAGAGCTAAGGAAATTTTTCAGCCAAAGGAGACCATAAAATGTGATGAAGCACAATTAATGAACTTTTATGTACATAACCAGAAATCTTATTCCTTGAAAGTCAGCAGCCCTTGAGCCGTAAAAAAGACTTGCATGTTCATCACGGAATAATTTCTATGTGGCTTAAGAGAGAACACGTAACTGTTGATGGCGAATATACATTGATTAGAAATATATGGGTACGTCTACCTGAGCCGTCCACAGCCCACTAAATTAACAAACCCCAAACCCAAACAATGGAGCCCTTTGATAAATGGGTCTTCGGTATAATTAACAAACCCCCAAACAAGGAGCCCTTTGATAAATGGGCTTTGGGTATAAATTAACAAACCCCAAACAAGAATTATTAACAAGAAGCTGTAGCATCTTGAAGGGATGGGAAATTAGCAGAATGCAGTAAACCCTATATTTAATTTTTTTCTCAAGAGTTCTGCTTGACGTTCATCCTAATTCGTTAGAACAAATAACTTTACCTTTTTGCATAAAATTCTTGTAACTTTATATCTCCTTTTTTCACTCCGTGTTTGTGAAAGTTATCTGTAATTGCTTAGAGAATCACTTGTGCTCTAAAATCTAGATTACAATTTCTTTTTTCTAAGTGGATTAAAGTTAATATTCTCTGTCAAGCAGCTCTATATGCAAATTTGTTGAGAGAACCAACACTTTTGCCCAGTCGAAGAAGTGAAGATCAAACCAAACAAGCGTATAAGATGCTATCTGATTTCTTCAGGTTTGCATTAAATACATTTCTTTAATGCAACCTGAAGAAATACTTCATGTTGACTTGCAGATATGGAATTCATGTTGACTTGCAGATATGGAATGAATACTTCATGTTGTCGAGCTAAAATACTTGTGGAGTATTTTGGGGAGGACTTTGGTCATGACAAATGTCTAATGTATGTAATGTTTCTTTTGATTTTTAGTTCTTTCTTTTAATATCACAGTGAAATCCACTTCTGTATTGGGTTAATCAAGACTTCTCTCCTTTAGTTTGAAACTTGAACATACTGTTTTTCAAATATTTAAGAAGTGAGCTTTATAGTCTTCTATATTGTTATTCTCTTTCTAATTTTTTGAATAAATATATGTCTAGTTCTTGTAATTATGCTTTCATATCGTATCACATTTGAGATGAATCATAATTCATGAATAAATAAATGTGAGTTTTATTTTGAAAAAGGTAATAATAGTTGAAGCATTTGTATACAGGTGTGATGTGTGTTAATGGGCCTCCTGGAATGCAGAATTTGAAAGAGGAAGAAAATATTTTGATGCAGGTTATTGCTACTTATAGTGTAAGTGTTGTAGCTTCTCTTCCCGTACCTTGCGGCTTTATCTTTCTGTTTACATGTGAATCCATGCATAATCTCATCTTTGGAAGTTATTGTCATGAGCCAAGTTTAATACCTAGATCAGTAACACTACACTCATAAATCCTTCTCACTAATTTTATCTAAAAAACAAGATGTGTCAGTTCGTAATTGGTCATCTCGCAATTGGTCTTACTTGCCCAACAATGGGTTATGACAAATTAAATGCAAACTGACCAATTACGAGTTATCACGTTAGTGTTTATTAGAAAAAGTTGTGAAAAGTATTTGTTAGCATATCTTTATTTTACTTAGATAGATGTTTGGACACTATTTTTCTAATGGTTTATGCCAAAATTCAGGTTTGGAAACTTTATTCTACAATGTATGTGTAGAAACAATGATTAGCTTATCACCCTTCATTTTTTTTAAAGCTCGGAAGATGAGATTTTGATAATGCATTGTTGGGGCAAATGGGTAGTAGCCAGTCTCCTATTTAACTCAATTCTACTTCTTCGTTTGCATATATAATAACTCATCAAATATAGCCATTATTGGATCAACTTTTCTTTGGCTTCCACTTATCGATAATAAGTAATTGTTTCTAAAACTACAAAGAATAGACAAAATGTACTTCCACTTGAAAACTTAAGAAATAGTTTATTTGAATGTTTTCAACTACTGCCATGGCAATGAAGGCATGAATTACTGACACATCCATAAACAAGGAAAGCAGAATCCTTAATACAAAAACTAATGACATGCTAACTAGACTTGTACATTTTTCTGAGTTGCTTTGTCACATCTATCATATTTGGCATATCTTCTGGTTCAAGACAGAGACATTCCGACACAAGCCTTACAAGAGCTAGCAATTGTTGTTCTTTTATCGAACATATTCCCTCTCCAACAATCACCGGATCTATTATCTCATTTAGATTATTAGGTCCAATATCTTCCATCTGAAAACCTTTATTCTTGAGAAACTTTTTTAAGCTCAATCCACTCAAAAGCATAAACAACAATTCGCCAAAGCAATAGACATCAACCTTCTCATTGCAATTAAACTTCCTATTGGGAGCTATTGCAAGTAAAAGGTCGGGTGGAACATATTCATACCATACTTTTTTCGTTAAATGAACTTCCAAGTGAGTTTTACCCTCTGGAATAAACTCAGATACTGAAAAATCAAATAGTTTTACAGCATACTCCTCATCAAGAAAGATGTTCCATGGTGCGAGACTTCCAAAAACAATAGGTCTAGGGAATCCAAGGTGAAGATATGCAACTGCATGAGCTATCTCCATTGCAATCTTTAACCTGAGTTTCAATAATAAAGGTCCAAGACGAGGTTGAGAATGACTCAAAATACGATCAGCAAGTGTCGTACATCCAACGAAATCAAAAACTAGAATGGGAAATTGAGTTTCTAAACAACATCCGATCAACTTCAGAAAATTCTTATGCTTCATTTGTGTTGCAAATACAATGTTATTGATGCCCTTTTGGATTATTTCTTCTTTTTCCTGGAAGATAATGGGTTCAAACTTCATAACAAAAATCTGACGGTCTTGTAGAAAACCATTGTACAACTTATAGAAAATTTTATTTGTTATAATTAATCTCTGATTGTCATAATTAATTGTTGCTTTCCTGAGCTCTTTCTCGGAAAAACTACGAATAGGATTACATTTGCCATTAAAAGTGGCAATCAACTGTTTCAGTAACATTGCATCATTCTTCAAATTATTATCGTCCTTTCGGGGAAAACATGAACTCATCTTATTTGATCTACAAACAAACCCATGAAATGCTTTCATTTATTTAACCAATAATTTGGAACATCAAGTGTACAAGTATTAGAAAACATGAAAAAGGAAAAAAAAAAAATTGATCATGTATGTATATGAAGCTAACTATAATATAAGTTTATACAAATGAATGCTCTATAATCTATATATTTTATTCAGAAAAGAATGTTTTCGACTTAGATCATTGTCTAACCTAAAGAAAATCAAGAGTAAAAGTAGGTGAAACAGAGGGATTTAAGAAGGCGTACCTATGATGTGAGGATGGCCAATTCGCCCGGTGCTAATTAATCGAAATTGTTAAGAAAAAAAGAAAGGCCTGAGTTTAAGAGAGCTAAGGAAAATTTTCAGTTAAAGTAGAACATAAAATCTGACGAAGCACAATTAATGAACTTTTATGTACACAACCAGGACTCTTATTCCTTGAATGTCAGCTGCCCTAAAGAAGACTTATATGCTCTTCACTGGAAAATTCCCTTTATCTTTGGGTGGGAACGTGTGGCTTAAGAGCAGTGGCGGTTCCAATGAAGATGAGTGGAGACCACGGTCCCCACTCAATTTTTAAAAAATTTAAGATTTTATATTCATTTAAATTTTGTTCTCATAAACCTTAGAGATTTTTGGAACAAAACAGTCTCTACGGTAAGTTTGGATTTTGTTTTTGTGAAACCCCATTTTTAATCCTAATATATATATTACGTATTTTTTGTGATTTTTATTTTTATGCAAGTGGGATTAATTAAGATGCGTATAAACTGATCCGGACAACTCCGAGAATCCAAAGTGAAGATAAGAAAGTACATTAGCTACATCCATTGCAATCTTCAATCTATGTTTCATCAGTAAAGGTCCAAGAAGGGGTTGAGAGTTGCCCTGAATACACAATCAACAAGTGTCCCACATCCTATAGAATCAAAAACTAGAATGGGTATTCAAGTTTCTAAACAGCATCCGATCAACTTCAGAAAATTCTTATGTTTCATTTGTGACATGAATACAATCGTATCGATGCTCTGTTGGTGTTGTATTCTACTGTTGATAGTATAATGGACTTCAAACTTCAAAATAGAAATTCAACGGTCTTGTAGAAAACCATTGTACAATTTTTATATTTTTTGATCTGTTATAATTAGCTCTTCGTCATAATATTGTGTTGCTACCTTGAGCTCTTCTATGGAGAAACTACGAATAAGATTAAATTTGCCATTACCATAGGCAATCAACTCTTTAAGTAAGATTGCACCATTCTCCAAACTCTTATCTTCCTTTCCGGGAAAATATGAACTCATCTAACTTGATCCACACAAAACCCATGAAAAAGATATTGAAATGAATGTTCTATATGTTTTATTCTGAAAAGGAATATTTTTCAACGAAGATAATTGTCTAATGTGAAAAAATAAGTGTTAAAAAAGGTGAAACAGAGTTGCAATGAAAGTAAATATACATGCATAATCAATTAACAAAATAAAACAAAGGGGTTTACAAGGAAGATGTTGTACCTGTATGGATGGCCAATTTAGGTGTTCATTTCAGCTAATTGTTCAGAAAAAAGCAAAGCCTGAGTTTGAGAGAGCTCAGGAATTTTTACTCAAGCATGATGAAAATCTGATCAAGCACAATTGAAGAACATCCATATATAACCAGGAAACTTACTTCTTCAAAGTCAACCATAGTTTATTAATTAAGTTTAGTCGGCAATGAGACACTTTCAACTGCCATGGAATCCTTCAATGTATCAGGAAAATTATATGAAAACATGAAGTACTGAAAAAGAAATAGAGGAAAGATTCATAAACAATGAAAACCAACCCGGAGAAATTTACAATGAAACGAGTATAAATGAAAATATTAGCCATTTCTATACATTTGCCTGAGTTCTTTTGCTGCTTCAACCATAGTTGGTCTTTCTTCTGGTAATGTAGAGGCACATTTAAGGGCAAGTTCTGTGAAAGCTCGCAACAAATCCTCTTTTCCAGGATTTAATCCATCTAAAACAATTGCAGGATCTATTATCTCAATAAACCGATCATTTTGACCAATACAATTCTTCACATGCTGCAATAACCATGAATCATCCCCATTTTCACAACGAGAAGAGTCGAATGTTTTTTGTCCAGTCAACAGAACAAGTAGCAATACACCAAAAGCGAAAACATCGCACTTCTCACTGCAAACACCAACACTTATGTACTCAGGTGCAAAAAATCCCATTGTACCAACTACCCTAGTATCTTTTATGTAAGTTTCGCCTTCTGGAATATACTCGGAGAGTGAAAAATCAGATAGTTTCACTATGGTTTGTTCCTGGAATAAGATGTTTGTAGGATTGATACTTCTAAAAACAATCGGCCTACAGAAACCAACATGGAGATATGCAAGTGCATTAGCCATCTCCATAGCAATCTTTAACCTGGGTGTCAATAGCAAAGGCACAAAATGGGGTTGTCGAGGACCATATATATGATCAGAAAGAGTTCCATACTCAACAGATTCAAAAACTAGGAGGAGAATTTCAGTTTCTAAGCAGCAACCGATCAACTTAAAAAGATTCTTGTGCTTCATTTGTGATGCAAAAACAATGTTGTTAAAGCAATACTCGTATGCATCTAACCTACTAGGAAAGTCTCTAAACTTCATGACAGAAACTGAATAGTCCTCGAGAATACCCTTGTACAGCTCATATGATGCAGCTCTTGTTATAACTTTTCCTGCATCAAAGTTATCTGTTGCCGTCTTGAGCTCTTCCTCAGAGAAGCTACGAATCGGATTATATTTACCATTGCATGATGAAATCAGCTTTTCTAGTAAGTATTTGCTATTCACCATCATAGGTGATGTGTTATCTATCTTTACCTGATCCTTGGATATTCTCTTGAACGAATCCATGCAATAATTTTAACTTGTTTAACTATAAAACCATGACGCATATTAAGGAAGAATTGACCATCATGATTCATACCAATAAAAAAATAATTATAATACCTTGAAGCTAGATCAGAACCTTTGAGAGACAGATCATCTACAAATTGGCACCTTGAGAGCTTGCTGCCTCTTCTCCTATGGAAGTCTTCTCTCAAAAATTGTCATCCACTAGAAATTTCTATCACTAGGACAAGGAAGTTTCTTTCTTTTTTTCTGTTTCAACAATTGCTGCAATGAATTCAACCAAAACAAATGATGGCTCAAGGGAAGTGGTGGGAAACATTGGAAAGATGGAAAATTCTCCATACCAGGCAATAAAGTTGACTTTTAAGTGTGATAACAACAATTTCCCACCCACTACGTTTAAGAAAAACAATTTGGGGTCCATTTCTTCCCATCTTAACATCTCCCTGCTTGCGGTTGGAGGAGATGAGTTAGCAGTGTTGTGGCTCCAGTCCCGAGTTAGGATGGCTAGAATGAGCTAGCAAGGTTGTCGATCTAGCCGCGTTGGAGGTGGTTCAGGTAAAGGTGGAGACTTTGGAGCTGAGGGCGGTGTTGGTGGCAGGGTTAGAGGTGGTATTGGTGGTGGTTGTGCAGCAGGAGGAAGAAGGAGTTGGTGGTGGTTTTGGCCACGGTGGAGGCTTTGGTGTTGGAGGAGGTGTGGGCAGTAGTGTTGGTGGTAGTGCTGGAGGAGGAGGAGGTGTGGTGGTGGTGGTGGTGGGGGTGGATTTGATGGAGGATCTGGACATTGGGGTGGTTGGGTTGTGGTGATGGGGGGTGGGCGCGTAGGACATGGGGCGATATGTTTAATAAACTGACTTTTAATAAAATAAAAATAAAAATAAATTGAATTTATCATTATGTCTTTCTACCATTAAAAAGTTGATAGACAGACCAACGGTGTGGGTGGATAATTGTTTTTCTTAAACTTAGTGGGTGGAAAATGGATAACGCCAAAACCTTGGGTGGCAAACTGTCATCGTTATCCATTTTCAAGGTCAACAAATTAAAAAAAAAAAAACCATAAAGAAGACAAAAATTATTAAGTTCAAATTAAAAGCCTCCATAGAGAACACACCTAATATAATTGATGCACAAATTAGTACATATCTTTTAGTCGGATGTTTAAACAATCATAAAAGTTGACATCCAACTTAGTCAATGAGTAAACTACGTACATTGATCTTATTTTCTCTAAGTGTAAGACATTAAATGGTTTATACGAACACCCAAGTAAGAGACCCTTAATTAAACTTGGACTGTGTATTCGTTGCCTTTGTCATAACAACAGACATCCATTCTTCAGGTGTCGATGCTGAACTTTCCCCTTCCAGATTCAAGTCGGCACATTTCGACAGAACGTCCTGCAAATGATCCACAAAAACCAGTTCAGCAAAACAATAACCAGTGCAGAAAACTCAAGCAGAAACAGGCTAACAGGACAAGAATGTGCGAAATTGAAGCAGCTCTTAAGTCCAATTTGGTTCGTTATCGATCTATGCCAAAGCATACATTCGGAGGGCTTTAATTGGCAGGTCATGCAACCAGTCGTCACAAAACAATAAGGCTATATCTTTATCATTTAGAACACAAAAAAAGGATCCAGGAACTCAATTTATTGCATTGCTCAAACAAGGTAACAGGATCCAATTTATTATGGTTTAATTTTCACCGGATTTGTTCCTTTGATTTTGGTTGATAACAATACATTACCATTAGACAGACATTATTCCATTGAAAAGTTGCAGTGATAAAGTAACTCTTTGGGATAACTATTAAAACCTGAAACTCAGTCGCAAAGCCACTTTTTTCAGCTTGCTTCTTTTCAGCCAATTTGAGACCAGGTTCTGTCAGCAATCTGTATTTGACAACCTACACAAAGAATCAGGATAAAGGAGCTGCATCTTCCATAATAACTCATAACTTCAGAGATGATAACTTTCCCATTTTATGCTTCCTGCTTCAAAAAGTTACTTATCTAATACAAACCGTGACTAAATCACATAAATAACTTTTAAATGGATTCTTGGAGAGCGTAGTATGAAACTATAACGATGGACTACTACCAATAACTTTTCAAAATGAAAAAGAATGAGCTCAAAACAGCAAGCTCAGAATTGCAGTTTGGTGAAGCTTGACCATTCACCATATTTTTTTCCACGCCAGATCTTCGAGTGGTCATCAAGGAAGTGGGCTCACATCATTTTTTATACTGAAGCTCTACACCAACTACTTTACTTTCATGGATCACAATATGCATATTCTGAAACAGCCAATGAAAATGTTTGTTTATAAAGGTTATAAGGTCTCTGAACAAGAATTATACCTGTAGCAACGTAACTCCGGTGTCAGGATACAAGTACTGACTAGCTCTTTTTTCTTCCTGATTCAAGCACCATAAGGCCTAGGAAAACAAAAAGAACAGATAGGTGATCTATCGTGTATGACATTTCAAATAGAAATCAGTCAAGTATGTAAAAAGTATGAAATACCTTTTGCATATAGTCAGCATATGAATCAGACAAAAGCCACTCTGAACTTAATTGAGCGTAGTATGAAGAGCTTTCATAAAGCATAACATGCTCGAAATTGGCATAATATTTTATTTCTCCACAATTATCAATTTCTGAAAAGATAAAGATGACATTCTTCAGCAGGTCCTGATCAATCTGCAATCCTTCGCGTTCCTGCTTGATCTGCATGTCAATTTGAAGTAAACTCACCCCATCAAGAAGGAAACACAAATATACAGAATAAATAGAGCATATAAACTAACCAATGATAATGCAGCAGCCCGGAGTTCACAATACAAATTTTTGAAAACCTGTAATGTAGTATAGAATTGTTAATTCTTCCCGAACTTTCAAATATTAAAATAATAATAATAATAATAAAAGAATTTAGAATCACAAGTGTATACAACTAACCAATTCGTGAAAGACTTTAACAGAGAGTTTATCAAGGTTTGGAAGTTCTTTCTTTTGAGGGATAAAGTAGCGGTCAAGGTATTCAAAAAATCGGCATAGCCACCTTGCCATTGCCTTGTAATTTGACCAAATTGGCACAAGTTCCCTCAACAAATTTACATCAGTTTTGCTTATTAACGATGGCAACACCTGAGAGCAAAAGAGGAAAAGACACATTCGGTGTCACCCTGTCTGCATAAATCTGTGAAAACGTTTCAAAATAGAAGTATAATCGACCACTCAAACAAACCTGACATAACAATCTATTGAATTAGCATCAGAGAAAGAGTCAATTTATCTACCTTTGATCTTTTTAATAACACAATAAATTTACCATACCATACAAAAAAGAAGAAATACAACATATAGTAATGCAATTGGGGCTCACCATATTGATGCTCTCTTCCAGGCAGCTCTTATATCGCTCATAAATCCGCACTGTCTTTTCATCAGAACCACGGGAAGTACACATGAAATACACACATCTAACAAGTTGTAAAGGACAACATATATGCGTTCAATTTATGAAACAAGCCAAATGTAAGATGCAACACTACTCAAAAGCACAAAAATCCTCAAAGTCTTAATGCAATACGACCCTTTCGACAAATCACAAAAGATACTCATAGAATCTCTGGTATTCTTCTCCGGTGAACTTCATTTCGTACCCTTCCATTATCTTCTTGGCCTTCACAATGGCCTCTTCCACCACCATCATTCCATCCTCCAGTGATATAAACTTCAACATCAGAGTCTCCCTTCCTCAACACAACTTCCCACAAGTATCTATAAAGAGCAATCTAGTGTCAATCATAGTCAACACACATTGCAACTAGGCATTTAAACAAATAACTCATAATCACACTTTAAAACTTGAAATTCCCTCAAAATGGCCCCTAATAACACCAGTATTAACCAAAAAGGAAGATACTTTTCAACTTGTTTGAAGAACAACTACAAATCTACAACAATTCTACATCAGAAAACAACCAAACCGACAAAGAAAAAATGTTTCTGATCAAAAGATTCAAACTTTCATACAATTATGGCAACAGAACCACACTAAAACTGCTAAAGAAAAAAAACACAAGTTATTACATCAATGGAGACTCACACAATTCATGAAACAAAGAAATTCTGAAAAATAAAAAAAAAAAAGAATCCAGAAAATGACCTGAGAATTTGTTGGTGCTTAGGTTCTTGAGAGATGCTGATAAGTATGATGGCTGCGAGAGGACACAAGTTTAAAGTGAACAGGAAAGATAGTTTTGTTGGTTGTCCAATGAACAAAACTGTGGGACCATACTAAACAATAGTTTCAATTCAGTGCAAGGTTACAGGTGTGGACCCCCAAATGGGAAGTCTTGAATGAGTCAGAGGGGTGGGACCTACTCTTACTAATTGTGGCCTAGTGTGGGGCCTTTCCAGTTTCACTTTAGTTGATTTTTTTTGGACAACAAGCTATTTTAGGAGATTCTATTTAGATTTTTGCAAACTGTGTCTGCCAGACTCTGTCTACAGTCACTTTCAATCTTGAAGAATCTTTGGGGTAAAAAGTAATTGTAATAAATTCGCATTTAAGTTTGGTAGCATAAAGTGAAGTAATTATCATTCCGCTCCTTGTTTTTTAACTTAAAATCAATGGAATCCTGAAATTTTTCAAAACTTTCTTGGATGCTGCTTCTTGTTGCTTATGACGATACAAAGACAGATGAATTCATAAGGCCAAATAATGATAATGGGTTTTGGTTGTGTCAAGTAGAGATATTTCCTTTCTTTCTTTAAGGTTTGAAATACTTTGTCCCGATATTATGGTATATAAAAGATGCAAAAAATCTATCGTCATGAAAATAGGGTCTGAAAATCCGTTAGACCTACACACATGAAAGGGTAAGCATGAAGCTTCTGGAAAATACCGGGGTGGTGTTTGTCGTAGACACTCCGACGCTCAAGTCAGCAAGACTAAAAGAGATTATTTGATAAGAATTAAGGAGATGAAAAATTACCAGGAGTCTTGTCGGAAGCTAGGACTACGGCGGAGATGTCGGGTTCTTGAGAGCAAGAACTAGGCAGAGATATTTCCTTTCTTTTTGAGTAGTATAGATTGACTATGAGAGATTGAATGCATAATGAGAGGGCAATCCTCTGTTTTTATAGTAAACCCAAGGGGTTTGAATCCTAGTAGGACATTGAGTCCTCTTTTTTTAAAGATAATCCCTATCAAGAAAGAAATATGATTTCTTGACCTTATCAGATTAAGTTAAATAGTTTAAGTAAAATTTGGAATCTTAGTAGGACACTAAATCCTATTTTGGGAGATAATCTCTATCATTAATCCCTATCATGAAAGAGATATTCTTGACTTTATCACATTAAGTTTAATAGTTTGAGTAAGATTTGGAATCTTAGTAGAAGAGGAAATAGAATGAGATTCTGATTTCCTATTTATGGATTGTTGTAGGCTCATGGGCTGAAACCCAGTTTAACTTAACTTATAGGATAGCCCAACTCATATAGTGAGTAGTTCACAAGGTGATTTTAAACATAAGCCCAATCGAGATTGGGTTGAGGCCTTGGGCCGTGACATGTTTATTTTGTTATTGGGCCTCGTCAAGCCCAAAATGATTTTTGGCCCTAACAATATTATGATATATAAACACTTTAGTCCTATTAGATGATTGATATTAGTGTTGTTGGCTTGGTTTTTTTTTTTTTTTTGTAATGATCGGGGTGTTCGGTTGTGTTTGCATGCACCTTAACTAATATCTGAAATTCATTGAATATGCTATAAACCCAATATTCAAGGATAAGCCACAAATGTAGTTGATGACCCCAAGGTGGTTCAAACCCAGAAAGTCAATGAAATGAGTGAATCTTCTTAACCATCAAACCAACCTTTTGAGGTTAAAAAGAATTGTTGGCTCGTTTTCTTAACATTGTAAGGGTAAATTTGACATATAGATAGGATGTACACTTCAGAAGCCCCTTATAATGTTAAGAAAACTAACATCAGTCATGTGATAAGCATAAAGTATTTGTATCCACTAGAAGCGAGGTAAAAGTGTAACAAACCCTAAATCTCAAGGATGAAATGGTAAGTTTCCAGTGTAAAATGAGGTAAATATCATTTAGCTCCTAGTAATTTGAGATAAGAAAATGGAGTCCAATCAACAATGAAAAAGTGTTGAGAACTTTCTCGGATGCTTCCTGTTGTTTGTTGATTATGACAACATAAGAACAAACGAATCCGGATCTACTCCAATGCCAAAGCTCATACACTTTCTGTTGGATCTCCTCCAATCCCAAATCTCATATTTCTGGTATTGAATATTATAAAGGGCTAATGAAATAGAAAAAATAAACCCAAATTTCCATAAATTCAAAATCCCAAAGATTCCATTAACACCAAAATAGTATTAGTTTATCAAATTAACTATGGAATTATATATCAAATACATAAATTCAACAAAAGATAGAGAAGAAAAATATGGATTCTTTGAGAAGAAAGGAAGAAATGTGATGTTTCCACAACAAATGGAAAAAAATCTCTCCATAAATTCAGACTTCTTCCTCTTGAATCGAACTATATATGATCTTCATTCTTCAAGGCTCAATTGGTCAATTGCAGGGAACATTTTCTGCATGCAAAAACAATCACAAAATTTTGACTGAATTTATTTTCTTGTAATATTCTCTAGCAGAAAAACTTGGTCTAGTTTTCATAAAAATGTGCTCTCTCTCTCTCTCTCTCTCTCACGCATATATATGTACATGATTTTTCAAATACAAATCTGAATTATACCTTAAAATCAGATAAAACCATAGCTTGTATCTGCAAAAAGTAGAGACAGAAGCAAAAAGAAAAATGATGAAATCAGTTCTGAATAATTAAAAAAAAAACCACAATAGAGAAAGTATATATATGCTGCCGCTTTTAAGAATGAGTAATTGCCCTTCTCCTCCGATTCTTAACTACCCAACCTAAGAATTGACAGTTAATACAATCCACTTATTCAGCGCACACATACACACATATATATTAAGAATGAGTAATTACTCTTCTCTAACCCTTAACTATCCAACCTGAAAGTGGACAATTAATGCAATCCACTTATTGATCAGGGTTCCATGGTCGGTCTGACCCTTGGATACCAATATATATATACCTTGAGTAATTTTCTTCCCGTAGGATTATCTTCTTCTGAGTAGAGGGCTTTTACTTTTTCTTCCTCCTGTTTAAAACAAAGATCAGCCTAACATTATAAATACATTAAATGAACAAGCATTTGTGAATGAAATATTAGAACTCTCGATCTTATTGCTAGGGTTTGAATCGATCTAAAGCTCATGATATTATTGAACGAGTACCATAATAACAATAATGTGTAGGGAGTTAAGAAATTAAAGAAGATCGTACCTTTTGAATGTAATCGATAAACAAATCCAGTTGAGAGCGATACTCCAAAGACAGTTGATGGTAACACTTACCGGTTTCTTCAAGCATCATCTGCTCAAATTTTGAATAGTAGTTGACTGAACATTTATCCAGCCTCATTTCTACTAGGAATTCCAGGAATTTTTTGTTCAAGACGTGATCAATCTCCTTCCTTTCTCGTTCTTCATCAATCTGTAAGCTCAGATCCGAAAATACTTATTATTGACGTTAGATAATATCAAATATCAGCTAACCCTAGCTATATTAATGCATACATATGTCACTTACCAAATCATGTAATGATTTCTGCAGACTTGAATGGTCCTTGACGATGACCTAGAATAAGAACGTTCAAGTAAGATATCAAGTCTCTGATCAATCAAGTTTCATAAAGGAAACTCAACAAATAAAGATGATGGAAATTTACTTGAAAATAAATGTAATCAATCAGGTTTGAACATATAATATGTAAGGAGTTCTTGCAATGGAAAACATCAAGATGAATAATGTATGAATGTAAATCACAAAACACAAAACACGAAAGAGACACGAACACGAATAAGATAGAGATTGATTATAATAATGTGGACAATAATGCCTAACCTAATACTCTAAATATAGTATCTAATTAATAGGGTGGAAACAATCTCAGTTTTTACATCAATCCACTGAATACTCGATTAGTAGAGCAAAAACAACTCAAGTTTCTATATTCAACACATGGTGTTTCCATTTATCCTAATACAACTTTCTTTTTTCCATATTCCTTCCATGGTTTTAAAACCCAGACCTTTCTGAAAGGTTCGACCAGGAACTGGTCTCTAATCCAAGGTCCATTGAATGGCTAAAGCCTATTTTAGTTATTAGACCGAATTGACCAACCGGGATTGAACTGGCGGAACAGTGTCAAACCGTGGTTCAACCGTCAAGACAGATAAAGAACGCCCCCTTCCTATTAATTATTAGAGTTTTAAAATTTTATTCCATCATGCTGATGTCAGCATTATGTCACTATACTGGCGTCATCGCCTATTGGATTGTAGGACTTGAGGAAGACCTGATCTGGTATAAAAACATTGATTCCTTTTAACATTGAATATAATTGAATTAGAGTTTTTACCAAATCGCGAAACAATTGGTTGGAGAATTCAGGATGTGATGGAAATCTTCGATCCATACTCTTGTAGTTGTTTAACCCAGAAAGCAATACCGCCATTGTCTTTGCAAAGTATTTATATTCTGACCATAATCGAGTGATCAGTTCTTTCACCATTTCACCACCATTTCTGTTCAACAATGATGGCAGAACCTGGAAAAAGAAATAAATTAAACCACGGAGAAAGTACTTCAACAACTATATATATACCTGGGAATCAAATCTAATTACCTTTTCGTTTATCCTCTCCATTAAAATGCTCTTGTATTTATCATAAACTTGCTCTCTCTCATGTTGATATATCAGTACCTGGTGGTGGTTGTACACAAATCTTCAACAGGAGTTAAAGGATTCCAAATGCATGAATTTATATAATTTTTGTTTTAAAAAAATAAAAAAAAATTCAGGATACGTATAGCCCCTCATCAAATCTTCAGCCGTCCATGATTTCTGATGATGATCATGATCTTGCATCATCTTCACCTTGGCAGCCATGTCTTCAAGAACCTTGAAAATCTCATCCACTGGCGGGAAAGAATTCATCATCTGCTTGTTTATTCAAACATATACAGTTAAGTAGATCATTAACTTCTAATAATTATCTTCATGGCAGCCAATAATTCTTTTTTTTTTTTTTTTTATTGCCAGTTGAATAACTTGATATAATAATTTAAA